TGAGGCCCTTCACACCTTCACGTTGGACTCCGGCGCCTCGCGCTGTTTCTTTCGTGACAGCACCACTCTCACTCCTCTTCCTGCACCTGTTCCGGTCACACTGGCTGACCCCTCTTGGAGGCCGGTCGTTGCCAGTTCCTCCACTGTCATCCCGTGTCCGGCGGTTCCATCGGGCTCACTGTCAGGTCTTCAGCTCCCCTCGTTCTCTACGAACTTGGTGAGTACCGCTGCCCTTCAGGATGCGATGGTCACTACCACCACTCCTGGGGGTCGCGTGTGTCGATTTGCACGTGCACACGGACAGGGCGTCACTTGGCTACGTTCACTAGTCGGCCAGGGTCGAGTCTGTACACACTAGCTACTGAGCCTCCTCAGGTCGCTACGTCTGCTCAGGTGTCTGCGTCAGGTCAGGTAGCCGCCTCTTGCTCGTGTCGCCTCATGTCGCACCAGACTCTTCTTTGGCACCACCGCCTGGGTCACCCCTCCCTGCCACGCCTTCGTGGCATGCACTCCCGTCTCCTTGTCTCTGGTCTCCCCAGGTCTCTGCCTCCCCTGCCGCCCTCGCCTGCACCGCCCTGTCTTCCTTGCGTCGAGGGGCGGCAGCGCGCCGCTCCTCACTCCTCCTCGTTTCCCCCGACGACTGCTCCCCTGCAGACCCTCCACATGGACGTGTGGGGCCCAGCCCGCGTCAGTGGACAGGGCCGCGAGCGCTAATTTCTGCTGGTAGTTGACGACTACATGCGGTACACCACAGTCTTCCCCTTGTGCAGCAAGGGTGAAGTCTCTGCTGTCTTGATCCCTTGGATCTGCACAGGCCGTCTCCAGCTGCGCGAGCGGTTCGGCCAGGACCTTCCTGTCCTGCGTCTGCACTCTGACAGAGGTGGTGAGTTCTCCTCCGACCTCTTGCTGGACTTTTGTCGTGGGGAGGGCATTCTCCAGTCGTTCACGCTTCCGGATTCCCCTCAGCAAAATGGGATTGCTGAGCGCCGCATTGGCTTAGTCATGGAGGTCGCTCGTACCTCCATGATCCATGCGGCCGCTCCCCATTTTCTGTGGCCGTTTGCGGTCTGGTACGCTGCACATCAGCTCAACCTTTGGCCCCGTGTCTCCTTGCCGGAGACCTCGCCCACGCTGCATTGGACGGGGAAGGTTGGCGATGCGTCGGTGTTCCGGGTCTGGGGTTCTCGTGCCTTTGTTCGCGATACGTCCGCAGACAAGCTCTCCGCCCGCGCCATTCCCTGCGTCTTCCTTGGCTTTGTCCCTGACGTGCCTGGCTGGCAGTTTTACCACCCCACCTCGCGCCGTGTCCTCCCTTCTCAGGACGTCACGTTCGACGAGTCGGTTCCCTTCTACCGTCTCTTCCCCTACCGCTCTGCCCCTTCCCCGCCCCCGCCGCTCTTCCTTGCTCCCGGTCCACCTCCGGTAGACCCCCTTCCGCCCCAGGGTCCTCCTCCCTCGCGAGTGTCTCAGGCAGACCCTCTCCCTGGTACTGCGCCTGTTCAGGTAGCTGTCGTCTCAGGTGCTGCTCCAGGTGCTGCGTCTGGGGGTGCTGCGTCTGGGGGTGCGGAGCCGGGGGGTGCGGGGTCTGAGGGTGCTGGGTCTGGGGGTGCTGAGCCTGAGGGTGTGGAGCCTGGGGGTGCTGAGTCGGAGGGTGCGGAGCGTGGGGGTGCTGAGTCAGAGGGTGCGGAGTCTGGTGGTGCTGAGCCTCGGGGTGCTGCTTCGTCTGGAGGTCCTGCTGGTGCTTCACCGCGACTGTCCTCGCAGCAGCTGCGTGAGTGGCTTGTTCAGCGCCCACACCGTCGGAGTGGAGCTCCTGTGGCTGGCGAGCCTGGAGACGCTGGAGCTGGAGGTGCTGCTGTTGCTACTAGAGCTGGAGACCCTACGGAGCCTGGAGCAGCTGGCACCTGAGGCGCTGGAGCTGGTGTAGCTGGACTTGGAGGCCCTATCGCAGGAGGCGCTGGAGCTGCAGGGGCTGGAGCTGTTGACCCTGGAGCTGGAGGTGCTGGAGGCACTGTGCGGTCGCGCCCGTACTTCGTTCCCCTGCTTCAGTAGTTTTTTGGTGTCCCGTCTTCTACTGGTCTTCCTCCTCCCTTCCTCTGTCCACCACCTGACCAGTCGCAGCCGCCGTTACAGCCAGCCTCCCCACTGCCTGTTCCCTCTCCTTACACTGAGCGGTCTGGAGGTCTTACAGAGCGTTGTGAGCCTGCGTCTCGTCCTGTCTTGCCTGTTCGCACTGCTCGTCGCGCTCCTCGTTCGCGTCCTCCTCCTGTCCCGGGCATGCACAATATGGCACTCCGTCCTTCCTCTGTTCCACTGCGTGTTCCTCTGCCTGCTCCTCCTGAGTCCTCTCTTCCTAAGGCCCCTGACCCTGAGTCTGACCGAGCGCGTGCTGCCAGTCCCACTGTCGCTCGTCTTCTTGCCATTGCTGTCACTGACCCTTCCTTTGAGTCTGCTGCTGCTTCTGCTCTCGTTGCTGAGCTGCTTGACTTTGCTGCTGCCTGCCGTCTCGACTACGCCTCTGCTCTAGTTTCTGAGTCTCTTTCTGCCAGTCCTCCGTCCGTCGGGGGTGAGTGTGCTCTTGGCACGGACGTCCTTAAGGACAGGCAGGAGGACTTTGAGTGTCTTGCAGCTGCTGTACCTCGTTTCGCTTCCTTGCTGCTTGCCCCTGAGGGAGACCCGGATGCTCCAGACATCCCGACCCCGCGCTCCTACGCAGAGGCGATTACGGGTCCTTACTCCTCTTAGTGGCAGGCAGCTATGGATGCCGAGATGGCATCCTGGAAGTCCACAGGCACTTACGTCGACGAGGTTCCCCCACCTGGGGTGAACATAGTCGATGGCATGTGGATTTTCAGGGTGAAGCGGCCGCCGGGTTCTCCGCCTGCCTTCAAGGCGCGTTACGTTGCTCGAGGTTTCAGTCAGCGACAGGGAGTTGACTACTTCCAGACCTTCTCCCCCACCCCGAAGATGACTACTCTTTGGGTGTTGCTGCACGTAGCTGCTCAGCGTGACTACGAGTTACACTCTCTGGACTTCAGTACAGCCCTCCTGCAGGGCAGCCTGCACGAGGAGATCTAGCTGCGCCGACCACCTGGTTTCACTGGGTAGTGTCCTACAGGTACCCAGTGGAGCCTCCGCCGGCTAGTCTATGGTCTCCGCCACGCGCCTCGCGTGTGGCACGACACACTCAGGACTACACTTGTGGCTCTTGGGTTTGTTCCTTCTACAGCAGACCCGTCGCTGTTTCTACGCACCGACACCTCGCTGCCGCCCTTCTACGTCCTAGTGTAGGTCGACGACCTCGTCTTTGCCACGGCTGACACTGAGGCACTGACCCTAGTGAAGTCCGAGCTGCATAAGAGACATACCTGCACTGAACTGGGTGAACTACGCAGCTATCTTGGCCTGCAGATCACCCGGGAGAGAGCACGGCGCACCATCACACTTACTCAGTCACACATGGTGCACCAGGTCCTTCAGCGCTTCGGCTTCCAGTACTCCTCGCCACTGCTCACTCCTCTGTCTACCAGCCACTCGCTCTCAGCTCCACCTTCGGACGAGTCCGTAGAGCCGAGTGGTCCATACCCAGAGCTTGTGGGTTGCCTCATGTACCTGATGACTTGCACACGACCTGATCTCACGTACCCTCTCAGCCTTCTGGCTCGCTACGTGGCTCCCGGTAGGCACCGAAAGGTGCACTGGGATGCTGCGAAGAGGGTACTTCGTTACCTGTGCAGTACGTCGGGCATGGGGCTTGTGCTCTGAGGACGGGGTCCTGTTGTCCTCACTGGTCACGCAGACGCCTCATGGGTTGACGACTCGGCTACGCAGCGGTCGTCGCAGGGTTATTCCTTCAGTCTTGGGTCCGGCTCTGTTTCTTGGCGGTCTACCCGCTCGTCTTCAGTTCTCAGCTCCAGCTGTGAGGCTGAGATCTACGCCGGAGCCATGGCTGCTCAGGAGCTACGCTGGCTCACCTACTTGCTGACCGACTTGGGAGAGCAGCCTCGTTCGCCTCCAGTCCTGTACGTAGACAACAAGGCCATGATAGCTTTGTGTCAGGAGCACAGACTGGAGCACAGAACGAAGCACATCGCTCTGCGATACTTCCTTGCTCGAGAGTTGCAGCAGCGTGGCCAGCTTCGTCTTGCGTACGTGGCCACTCGGGCCAACACTGCTGATGTCTTCACCAAGGCACTTCCGCCTGGTGACCATCAGCGCTTTGTTACTGTGTTAGGCCTTGTGCCTACTTTGCCTCACTTACTTACTGCCTGACTCTGCCTGTACTGTGATCTATCTATATACTTGCATGCTTGCACTTGTTAGGGTATGATCACTGTATTGTTTGTTCTCTTTTATATAACTCTGCATGTGAACTGGCCTTGTGGCCCTTTGCTTGTGCTCGGACTGTGTGGTGACTTTGTGATCCACCCTGAGCGTGCTTTGCTTTGCTCCTTCTCTTGACTGGTCTTGTGACCATTGCTTGTTCTGGCTATCCCCCACTTCGCCTATGGGGGTGTGTCAAACATATATGCTTAGTTATATCTAGGCTTAGTTTATGTGTTTACAGTTGTCTAGGCTATAGTGGGTTTAGCCTTAGGGGGTATAGAATTTCTCTCGACATTCTACTTGTACCCCTCCCCCTTTCCTAGTCACTCCATTCTCGCCTACTATTCTCACACTAACAACCTACACTCCGAACACCTTCTTCTGGCAGAACCGATCGATCCCCGAACAACCCTCTCTGCTCCCATCGTACGATGGCACCTGCAGACATCGACCAGTCTCACTTCGCGCGGATGTTCGACCTCGAAACCGTCCCCGATTGTCCCGACTTTGGTGCCATGAACGTTGCAGACGATTCGTTTCTCAACCTAGTTACAGCCGCGGCCTGGACCACTTGCAACAATTACATCAGTGAACCCGGCAGAAAGAGTGGCGAGAAGAGCGGGGAGGAGAACTTGGGAAATCCGGCGGCCCGGAAGCAGCTTCTTGCGGTGCTTATGCAGGCTCTCACGGATTCGGCCGATGACACCGCCACTGCCGCCGCCGACGATGAATCCACGGCGTTGGCAGCACGATCGCGGAAGCGCAAGGCGTTGGAGATTGAGGCGGCGCTCTCCGCGTCTGCTCCTGCCAAGGGCGGAAGCAAGGCGGAGGTGACGCGCGAGCCGCGTCGTGCGATTTGTGCTGTCATCCTCCGTGGCAGCGAAACGTCACACCCCGCACTTGCCGGCGGTGCTCCCGCGCCTCCCGCCAGTGGTTACCACTCGAGCCACCATTGGCGGCAGGACGCTCGCCCATGGCCTTTCGATCACCCATGGTTGCAGATGCCCTTTCGCCTGCCCATCGCCAAAGGTGCTGCTCCCGCTGCACCTTCTGTTGCGCCTCCTGCTTCACTATTACTAGCCACCGTGCCAGAAGCAGCAGCTTGCATGAACTGCTTTAACAATTCAGATGATGACATGGGCGGTTTTGGTGGAAGTCCCGCCTGCCACGGAGGGACCAATGGTGCGGCAGATGACGACGATTGGATGCCGCGCAACTGCGGGCGCAAGGATCGGCAGATGGCGGGCAAGCGAATCAAGGTGCGGAGCATGGCGGAGAGGCAGAGGCGGGAGAGGATCAGTGCGGGGCTGGAGAAGCTACGCCTGGTGGTGCGCGGGCATGGGGACATGGCCTCCATGCTCGATAAAGCTGTCGCATATGTCAACTCGTTGCAGCACAGAGTGACTGCGATGGAAACCACCCTGTTGCTGCACCAGGCGTCGTGCAAGAACCTGAGGCAGCCTGAATGGTCCCAGGCCTCTTCTGGTGAATCTTCTGACCTCTTATAGGCATTCTTACCATTTAATACTGGATAGCAATAGCGTTGGATCAACTTACAACTAGTAAAGCTGGACTTCAGCTTGGAGATGTGTCAAATCGATCTTATTGATCTTGATTTTACCATATGTACACCTTGTTCAAACTTGAACTGCAATTGAGCCCTGGAATTGACAGGCCTTTTGCAGGTGTGCAGACTTGGCTTTTGACATGATGTAATCGATTTGTCTTAACCCAAAAAGCGAAACTCTAACGATCGGTGATTGAACTATCATAGCAGGTGTGGGAGGGGACATAGTTTTGCATGGTTCCAGTATAGCCTTATGATCAAACAGGATGAACAAACTAAAAAGCGGAGCCCTTCTTGGAAGCACTCCAAACCCACTACACCAACTTAACATCTGTAAAAAGACCGCAGATAATGTCCAGTGAGATCTCCATCGGGAACCACCCCCCTTCAGCAGGACCTCAATTGAGTCTTGACTGGCCACATGTAGGAAAGCAGTTTCCTCGAGGGCTGCTAATCCAGGAGAATACATTTGCCATCCAGACAAAAGTGTTTGATCTCATGGCACCAGATGAAATTCGTGTCAGCGGCATGATCTAAATGCACCTTGGACAAGTACGTGGGCTGAAGAACATGGAACTTTCGATAACACGTCAGCCAATAACTGCTTCTTCTAATACCGGTAGTCCAAAAGGTTATTGATGGTCACCTTGGCCCACGGGTCTCAGAATTTTATAAAAAAGGAAGAGCAAACGTGATTGACAACTCTGCCTTTGCTGCAATACCCCCACCATTCCAGGATTTGGAACAATCCTCAGGGTTATCACTCATGTGGCCATCATTGTCGCTCACAACCTCCTTGGTTCAACTAACCCCAATGTCGTAGCCCGGTCGTTGATGCAAACCTTTACTGCCTCATCCACCAACCCATTTGCTTTGAACTGGCAGACAAGCGGAGCATGATCGTGTCACAATCCATTTATGGTACGGGCATAAAAAGAGGCGGTAACAATCCATACCCTGTACAGTACAACCCAACCTAGCCTACAAAGTACATATATATGCAAATATATATGTGTACGCTGACACACCCCCCTGGCTAGGCAAGGGGCAGTGCCTAGAAAATGAGAGACAACTCATGGCAGCACTACTAGTCCAGCCTCCGAGGCAAGGGAGCACAAGGCCAATCAACAAGAACAACAAGGTGTATGATGTATAACTTAAGGCGGTACTTCTCGCCCAGCCTCTGAAACATAGGGTCACGAGGCCACTCAGTGAGTATAACCACACAAAAGCAAGCCCAATATAGTGTACAGAGATTAAGATCTTAATAAAGTGAGGTACTACCGAGACAAGACCAAGCTGTCTGAAGAGCCGCTGATGATCACGAGGCGGGAGCAATTTAGGCCAAGTAGGGCCCTGAGGCCAAGTGTACTACGCGAGCCTGGCCGTGCTGTTGTGGCTGACGCAGTAGGAACTACCGCAACTGGATGTGCTTCGCCCTACCCTCTAGTCTAGGCTCCCGACACAAGAGGATAGTGGCCTTGTTATAAGCAAATAGGACCGGGCCAGAGCTAGGCGACTGAACTACGTCGGTGAGCAAGAACGTCCGCCAGCGGAGTTCATGAGTAGCCATAGCGCCAGCGTAGATCTCTGCCTCACAGCTGGACTATGCCACCGACAACGAAAATGAGCTAGGATGCTGTGCCGACCAGTTCTCAGATTGGTGTCTACCTGTCGCAACAAAATGAGCTAGGATGCTGAGAGGATATGCGAGATCTGGGAAGGTGCAGGTTGTCAAGTACATAAGTCATCCCACCAGCTCTGCATACTAACCCCTGGGCTCAATAGGGTCGTCAAGGATAGGTTCCGAGAGTGTATGGCCAATAAGTAGAGGAGTGGGATGTGCAGAGGAGAACTGAGGATGCACGCAGCTTTGTCCTTAATGAACTGCTTGCCAAGATAGTGGCGCAACTCACCTAGGTCAGTGCAATCATGTCTCTTCAGCAGCTCGGCCTTCACCGAGGCCAGCATGACTCTGTCAGGAGTGGCAAAGACCATATCATCTACCTAGTTGAGAATGTAGAATGGAGAGAGACTGGTTAGCAGAACACGGGAAGAATCAAAGGTCAACCAGAGTAGCACGCAGTGTGTCATGCCACTCACGAGGAGCCTGCCACAGACCGTAGATGGGCCGTTGAAAGATCCAGTAGCTTCCAAGAGGAAAAGACCCAATGAAGCAAGGTGGGCGATGGAGGAAGACCTGCTCATCCAAGCTCCCTTGTCAAGCGCGTGAAGCTCGTAGTCACGCTGTGCCGCAATGTGCAGCAGTACCTAAAGAGTGGCCAAATTTTGGGTGGGGGAGAAGGTCTGAAATAAGTCTACCCCCTCTCGCTGAGTAAAGCCTCTAGCCATGTAGCGCGCCTTGAAGACATGCGGCTCGCTAGATGGCTGATTTACATTGAAGATCCACATGCCATTGAATACGTTTGCTCTATGAGGAGGAACTGCGTCGACGAACGTCCCTGTGGACCTCCAAGATGCCATCTCTTTGTCCATGGCTGCTATCTATTGAGAAGCCCAGAGTAGGTGCGGGCTGTCGAGAGCGTCTGGGTCACCCTCAGGGGCTAGTAGCTTGAAATACAGATGAGGAGCAATGGCTGCAAGGAAAGCCAGCTCGTCCTGCGTGTCCTCGAGGACGTCACAGCCAAGGGCAGGAGCACCCCCAAGGGACGGTAGACAGAAGGGAGCAGAGACCAACTGAGTGGCGTAGTCAAGGCGGCATGTGGAGGAAAAATCAGTGACAGCAGTGACAAGAGGAGAGACTGAGGAAGGAGGAGCAGTGGGGTCGGTAACGAGGGAGGAAAGGACACGGGAGACTGTAGGGAGAACGGCACGGAGAACGTCAGAGAACGGAGGAGAGGAGACAGCAAGAGACGCCGGAGGAGTCGACGGGAGAACAGTGGGTGGCGGAGCATGAGAGACGTGAATGAAGGAGCATAGTGTGGACACGAGGAAGCGGAGACACAAGGCGAGCTCGAGAGGGACATCTGACCTAGTGGTGGGAGGGAGGAGTCGGGTTAGGAGACAGAGGAGGAGACAATTGTGAACGTGGATTAAGATGAGCCAGAGACGAGTCCGGGGGAGGAAACGTGGGACCGTTGACTGGGAGAGGCAGCGGGGGAGGAGCTGGTGGTCGGTCAGTCGAGGGATAATAAAGACCAAGAAGACGATGTGCAGACACTTGTGGCGATGACGCGTGCTACAGCAGTTGCTATTGCAGCAACGGCTGCAGTTACTGCAGTGCCGAACGTCCCGCTCTCGCGGCACCCCCAGCGTCAGCACCTCTCGACGTACCAGCACCCCCACCTCCTCCACGACCATGAACACCCTGGCACCATCCTTGCCCACCAGAGGGGGCAGCGACAGCGGCGGCCTCTGTTGTAGCAGTAGACTCGGCAACAGCAGCCGAGGCAGCTGGGGTAGGGAACTGGGGCGGCGCACACCCCTCAAAGTGGGGGAGACTACTGCACCAGTGGTAGAGGCAATGGTGCAAAGACAGGTCTCGATCTCAGTGAGACGAGTCTCAAAGAGATCGATAATGAGGTCCACGGGAGGCGGTTTGCTAGGAAGTGCATTGTGAGATACATGAGGGGGGCGTGCGTAGCAAGGTGGTCAGTCATGCAAGCAACACAGAACCTAGCTTCAAGCGAGCGCAGGTGGGTAGTGAGGACAGCGACAGTGGAAAAAGTAGAGAGATCACAGAAGAGGAAGGGCATGAGGAGGCGTCCCAGAGTAGCAAAGGAGGGGGTGGAGTAGCGAGCAACAATAGCATCTAGAAACTCCTTTGCCATCGTGACCTGGCAAAAGTGCACTCGCTTGGGCGGCGGCAAGAGGCAACTAAGAGCAAGGAGCGCAGTAGTGTCACGCGACACCCAAATCGAGTACGCTTGCCGTGCCATGCGTTGAGCCTCCCACTTCTCTGAGTTGGGCTGATCTGTAAGGGAAGGAGGACAATGGAGGGCAGGTAGCTCACCCAACATGTGGGCATACAGGTAGACACTGTCCTGCTATGCAGGTGGAGTTGGACGACTAGCAGCCATGCGTCAAAGTCGATCGCCCACCCCTCTGCATCACACCACAGTACGAACTCATATGCCATGACAGGAGTGAACAGGGGCATAGCTGCAGTAGATGACATGCCACAGGCAGAGGAGAAGACATGCAGAGGAAGTTAAGCAGATATAAACTCTAAATTGCTGCTACAGGCGCGGCGGTAGGTGCGCCGGCAGGGCGCAGTGGCAGGCGCGTCGCAGGCGCTACAACAGGGCGTGCATCATATGCGATGACAGGGCGCGGTAGGGGGCGCAGCAGGCAGACGGCAGGATGTGCGGCGGGCGCGGCAAGGCACGGAAGGCCGCGCGGCGGGGTGAGGCGGTGGGCATGAGACCCGCGTGGCGGTAGAGCGCGGCAGGGAACGGCAGGCGTGCGGCGAGTGCGGCTAGGCGCGCAGTGAGCGCAGGTGGGCGCGCTGTGGGCGCGACAGGGCGCACGGCAGGCGTGCGGCAGGGCGCAACGGCGGGCGCGCAGTAGGCGCGACAGCAGGGGGCAGTAGGGTGTGGCAGGGCGTGCAGCAGCCACGTGACGGGCACACCAGGGTGCGTCAAAGAGAGCAACAGGGCACGGCAGGGCGCGCAACAGGGTGCGGGAGGTGTGCAGCAGGGCACAGTAGGCGCGAGAGGGGGGGTGATACAGGGCGCTAAAAGAGAGGGAAGGGTAGGGATAGGGGGGGGAGGAGGGGGAGGTGACGGGGCGCTATAGGGGGACCACGACAAGGCGTTAGAGGGAGGCCGCTAGAGGGAGGCCGCTAGAGGAGGCCGCTAGGATGGGGGCCTCTAGAAAGGAGGAGGAGGGGGGGGGGGGGGGGGGGGGGGGGGGGGGTGGGGCTGGAGGGGAGCTGTGTGGGCACGAGGGGTATCTAGGCAGGCAGGCGGGGTGGAAGCATGTAACCTAACCTAAGCGCGTGATACCATGTCAAAAACTGAGAATTATGACAAGGGCATAGAAAGAAGAGGTATATCTAACAATCCTTACCCTCTATAGTACAGCCCAACCTAGCCTACAAAGTACACATGCAAATATATGTGTACGTTGACAGATCGTCCTCAACGAATGCGATGGGGTGCTCAAGCCCCCTTGACCCCCACCCCTCCCTTTCCTCCTCTGGAGCTTCAGCTTTCGTTGCTACTACACCTACTATGCCTGCCACGTTGGGGGGAAGGGTGAAGGAGTGGCAGGAGTCCACTTCCAACAACTTCAGCCGCCTCTCCTCCTCTTAGCGACCTCCCACTTCTCTTAGCCGCCTCCTCCTCCTCTCAGCTGCCTCCTCCTCTTCTTAGCCGCCTCCTCCCCCTTTTCCAGCGCCCTCCTCCTCCTCTCACTTCCGCTGCCCCTGTTCTGCCTGCATTTCCTACTGTCCATCCGCCTTTGCTGCAGTAAGGGGGAGCTTGAAGAGAGGGGGGGGGGGACGTGAAGCCAGCAGCTCCAATCGCTAGTGAGGCGGTTGCTCCAGTAGCAAGTTAGCCTGTTGCTCCTGAAGCTGGTGAACCAGTTGTTCTTGTAGATGCAATTTATAGCATGTCACTTGGAGAGGTGTTCCAGTTGTTGCTCTCTCTCTCTCCCTCTCTCTCCCCCTCTCTCAAGCTGTCATGCATTAATATTGTTCATAGGGTACAGGTAGGGCAGGATTCATGGCTGGCTAGGCATAGAAAAACATGCAAGGCAAGCACTGAGAGTGAGCAAGACACATGAGACATCCTAGGCATGAAGACCCATAGTCACTGAAGACGAGCAAGTAAGCCAACTTCCTTACGGCTTCCAAGCAATCCCAGACCGTGTAGGCAGCCCCCATCTCCTGAGAGTCCTCTTGTGCAGCCCCTCCTTATAATCAAGCCCTCCGTACTCTGCCCCGTGAGTCCTCACCCCTCTCTTTTCTCAGTGCCCCAATCTCCCCCTCCATTGCCTTCTAAGTTGCCCTGGCAGGAGCCTCACGCTCCTCGTAGTCATCCTGAGACATCTGCCAGAGGTCCCCAAGCCGTGGGGCCCAGGGGTCGGCTGCTGCCTGCGGGAAAGCTGCCTCTGCTGCCCGGTTCGACTTGGAGAGGAGAGAGATGGCCTGACTGCGCTGCAGCATCACCAACCATCTCTGTCGGTAGTGTGCAGTGAGATGGGCGGCCGTGGTGGTGAGCCGACCCTGCCTAAACTTATTCTTAGCCGCATAGGTTGCCAGCATGCGCAGGAACTGAATGGTGTCTGCTGCCATAGCCCCATAGGTTTCAACCGCTAGTCCAAAAAAGTCCGCATAGCTGGGGCGCCCCCCGTATAGGCGGTGCTTCTTCTGCGAGGCCTCCTCTGCTGCCCAGCCTGGCGGCCTGCGAGCTCTGGGGTCCCTATTCTGCAGCACTGGGTCGGTCACTGTGACATCAGTGACCCACGTTTCCCCAGACTCCTGGTCCCGGATTGCCAAGTCTGCTCATTTCCTAAGGACATGAGGGGAAAAGGCCGAGGTTTCGTGGAATTTTTTGTAGCCTGCCTCGTTAGCCATGCGCATTGCAGCGTACAGTAGGGCGTTGTGGGTCCTAACCGCGTCCCCTCCATCCTGGCACCGCAGCAAGTGGTTTGGTAGGCTCTTGTCCAGAATCTTAGAGCCGTCCCACTTGCATGGGCACACCTCAGCAACCGGCAGCTCCATGCCTAGGCAGAGGCCTAGCGACAGCGAGAACTGACCAGGGGAGATAGAAAGGTCAGCCCTCGTTGGGATTGCATGGAGCCAGTCGCCCCCCCCCCCCCCCCCCCCCCCCTCCCCCCCTTTGAAATTGATTAGCCGGATCGCATGGCCCCTGTTAGTGCCAGGCCGGTTGATGACTGTGTCGCCCAGGAGGTCTGCTACCCGCTGCTGGTTGATCTGCTTAGAGAGGCTCAGCTGCAGGCTACCTGTGCCTGTGTTCTCTGTCCTGAAATGGCTGAGTGTCGCTCGAGCTAGGGCCGGAAGACTCTCTTCCAGGGGTGTCAGGGGGTTTGTGTCTGGCGGCAGTGGGGACCAGTCGTGGGAGAGCAGTGTTGTAGCCCGGTGTAGCAAGCAGTCCGAGGGTAGGTTCAGGTGTAGCAGGAGCGCATGGGCAGCTGCAACAGATGCAATGTAGGCGGCGAGAGCTTCCGAGGTGGGATCTATAATCCCAATGCCACCAAGTCGGATCGGTAGAGTTGCTTGACGCCATAGGAGGCTCTGCTCTAGTTCTGACGTGGGTATGCGCAGCTTCATCGCTGCAAGTGCTGCACCTACTAAGGCTTCACTCCACTCTCTCCACTCCACCACGCTCAGGGCTGTCGCCGGTGTCGTCCGCAACAAGTAAGAAATCCGGCGTGAGATGCTGCGGGAGAGGATGAGCAAGGCATGCTATGGGTTAAGCTTAGTGATGAGGGGGAGAGGCGAAGCCACATCCTCCAGTGTAGCTCGTACTTGGCTGGTGCAGAAATCACCGCTCCCAATGGGGCTGCCGAGGACCCTAATACCCAGCGGCAGCTCCTCATTTTCTCCCTCTGAAGCTGTCCAGCCAGAGGACTTGGAAATGTTGCAGCGGAGGCCGGACTCCGCGAGCTTGGTAGCGAGCGTGCTGAATGCGACGCAGACCGCCTCCCTTGGGCCCACCACAGTGATGTCGTCCGCGTAGGCGACGACAGCAACCTCCGGTATCGTCGAGGTGACGCTCAGCAACGCCGGTTGAATTGCCGCCGCGAATAGTAAAGGGCCTAAGGGATCGCCTTGACGTACGCCTCGGGAACTCGTGATGTGGCTGACGCCGAGACGATGGTCAACGAGCAGGCGAGAGGGTCCGTCGTACAGGTTGCGCACCAGGGGGAGAACCGGGCTTAGGTTGGACCAGTGCAGTGCCTCCATGAACGCCGTTCGCTCAACACTGTTGAAAGCATTTTCAACGTCGAGCTGCAGGGCAATTCGCGATTTGTCGTCCCATAGTAGAGCGCGCACTGTGTGGATAATGCATTCCGCCCCTCCTTGTACTGTGACGCCGAACTGTACTGGGAGAAAACATTCCCTAATCTTACGACCTAGGGATTGAAGGGCCGCCTTCGCCACCACGCGGAGTAAGGCCTCGCCGATCGCAATCGGCCTTACTTCGCCATTCGGCTTCTCAAGTGCAATAAGGCGAGATGGCAGGAGCAAGTCCCTCACGTGCTGGGGTTGGAAATTGCTGAGGAGCTGGTTGACCACGTTCGCGAAGAGTAGAAGCAGTTCTTCGTTGGCGAGTGCTGGATCTCGCAGGTGCTTGAAGCACGTCCCGGAAGGCCCCGCCCCAACCCCGCCCGGCCATTTCGCTAGCACTTCGCGCAGTGTATCGAGCGGCACTGAAAGTTTTGACACCGTGATCCCTGTAACCCACGATGGGGTCTGTGTCTCGGCAACAGGGTCTTTTGCTTGTAACACCTCCAATGTCGCAGGAGTTGGGTCGGCAAGGGGGCTGGTTCGTAACGCGGATACAGCTTTTGAAATGTTGCCCTTTTTAACCAAACCTTCAGCCCTCGCGCAAATTCCTTCTTCATCAGCCTGGTGTTGTATTGGGCCCTCTGAGTTGGGGATGACCCCCGCTTCCTCGAAGAGGCCCCCCCATTTGCCATGTTGGAATTTGTGTATGCAGGCTTCGATCACTGCCCAGCGGCTTCCTGTCACTGGTTCCGGAGCAGGCCTTAGGGTCAGCCTCGGGAGGAAGTGAAGTATCGTCCAACCACCTGGGCATGCGGGAAATTTCTGTAGGCGAATAAGTGACGCGAGGACACATAGGCAGTAATGGTCCAGGAGCTGAGGGGGCAAACGGCGTACAAGGAAGGGCTGGTCGCCTCGACGGAGGATGTCTGTGTTGCACTCCCCTGCCAGCTGTTAGATGGCGTCTATTCCCGCCAGGTCGGAAGGGGATGGGACGTCCGTGTCATCCGTGGCAGCTTCTCCCGCTTCCGTTGGGTTATGTGGAGCACCTTCTTCTGTTCTCTCTCTCCTGGCTTGGGTTGCCCGCCTTGTTTCTCGCTCCTCCTCCAACGAGATCTCCTCTGAATCCTCTTCCTCCCTGCCCATAAACCCCGGGTCCGCCACGACATCGTCAGGCTCTCCCACTTCCCCGTCCCCAGGTGCTGCTTCAGTCACAGGCCTGCTGTGGCGTTTCCGCCAGGTTCTAGTTCTGAGCGGTATCTCCATTCGCACGGCAGGATTGCACCCCCTCGGTCCTCCCCTGAAACCTCCTCGTGCCCCCCTGCATTGTCCCCTTGCCACTCCGCCTGTAGTTCCTGCAGCAGCAATTCCTCCGCGTCCGGCCGGCATCCACGGCGTGCGTCCACCGCGTGGCGGACCCCAAGTGATCGCCCCAAGCCTTGCTGAACGACGAACTCCTTGTGTCGCGGCAGTGTTGTCAACCCCTGCTGCTACCGCCAGCATTGTTACTTATGGGGCTGCGGTATTCCTCCGTCCTGCGGTGAGCTGTGTCGCAGCCGCTTGCATCCCCGAAAGCCCCGGTGTGGGTTGTGCAGTTGCAGCTCCTCGTGATGCAGACTGAGGCTCTCGCTCTCGTGGCGACTGCCCTTGCAGAAGCCAGCCCAGGAGGGGTCCCCGGACGCCAGGTCCAGCCCTGCTCCTGGCCGCCTCGGCGCTGGCTGGGCTCGGAAATTCTTCCCCGCCTTTCCACAAGCGGCGCAAACAGTCGTGCCGCACCCATGACCCCGTCTATCGTTCGCTACCTGGACGCGCCCCTGCATGTCTGCGCCCACGGCAGCAGCAGGCGTTCCGGCGTACGCAGCGGCAGCCATCACGCCCTCCTCGGTCCTGGCTCCGTTTTGTTCTCCAGCTGCAGCAGACACCACCGCCGCCAACACAGCAGCTGCCACAGGCGCCAGTGACGCGGACAGCGCCGCCTCCGCAGCCTGCCCCTAGACGCCAGTTAGTCTCTGCGTCTCCACCTGTGGATGTGCTACTCGGGGGGTGGCAGAGGGTGAAATTGAGCCGCCGCCAAAGGCAGCGCCAGTCACGCCAGCAGACACCAGCCCCACCTCAGTCTCCGCCGCAGTCACTGCAGCAGCAGCCTCAGGCCTCGCAGCAGCAGCCGTCGTGTCAGACCCCGCCGCGGTCGGCGACTCAATTACCGCTGTGCCATTTTCCCCTGCCACCCCGCCCACTAGCATGGATTCAGCAGGCCTCGGTACCGTTTGTAACTCCTCAGCGGCCAGACCCCAGTCCACAGGTATAGTTGACGCAGTCGGGCGCACAGCAGAGGATGAGATTAAGCCGCCGCCAGAGGCGGCAACAGTCCCGGCAGCAGACACTTCCCCCGCTGTCCCAGCCGCTTTCGTCGTCTCCTGCGCTATCTCCGCCTCCTCCACCGTAGCAGCCTCGTCATTCTCCGCCAGCGGCGCCATCCCGGGCTCAGCAGCATCAGCAGCCGCCGCCAAAACAGTTACCGCCACCCCAGCCTCAGCTGCATCAGCCGCCAACTACCCAGGTGCTGTTGTTCCCTCCCGTCCCTCCAGCTCCTTGTGCTTCAGCTGCCCACGGTCTTCAGCTTCAACAAAAGGGAGTGGAGGAGGTGAGCACAAAGACTGGTGCACCCGCAAGGCGTGGGCACTTGTACCTCTCGTGCTTCACCGATGCTACCTGGGCAAGTGACATCAATGATGCTACATCCCATGGTGGCTATATATGCTGTGTTGGAGGGAGTCCAGTGAGTTGGAAGTCTAAGAAGCAAGGAGAGATAGCTCACTCATCAACGGAGAGCGAGTACATGGCAATATACCGTTGGAAATCAGACACCTGAAGCTAACTTGTCTCCAAGTTTCAGCCTCGTATATTATCAGAGCTGATTGTGACAACGTTTTGAACAGAGGCGGTTTGAAGTCATCAAGTTCTGCTTAGGCGGTTTCATGGGCATCCGCGACCCCTAAGTGGACTCTAGACTATAACAGAATGTGGAGCAGGTGACGGCAGATTTGCTGCACCTACGCATGGGGCATGCGGGAAGGCATCATTTTGTAGAGTGTGTGAAGAAGGGGGAGCTGAAGGGTGTGGAGATCAAGGAGGGTGGTGGGCAGCCAAGCAAGTGCTCTGATTGCACGACCAGGAAGCTGCCAAGGACACCACCAGCGTTTTGTGACCTCCTTCCCTACTTCCACCACTAGAGCATCCGCACCTCTTGAGTTGGTGCACATGAATGTGTATGGCCCCATGCAAACACCGGATAGGGAGAAGGGCAGCAAATACTTCATCACCTTCCTAAATGACTACAGCCGCCTACGTTGGGTCACCTTGGTGAAAACCAAGGATGAGGTGGCCAGGGTGTTCAAGCGTTGGATACGCTATACGGAGAGGGAATTCGGGGCCAAGGTGAAAATACTTAGGTCTGATCAGGGTGGGGAGTACATGGGGAAGGATCTGGAGTATTTCCTTGAAGAAAAGGGCACCACCCACCAGCTTTCAGTTGCCTGCACACCACATCAAAATGAGGCAGCAGAGCGGTTAAACTGGACCCTCATTGACCTTGCCTGAGCCATGCTTGCTCATGCGCAGCTGGACCATACTTGGTGGGGAACAGCAGTTGCTCATGCCAACTGGGTTAAGAACTGGATGGTCAGCAAGGGGCTAAAAACCAAGAGCCCATACTTCATGTGGACCAGGAAGGTGCCTAGTGTGTCCATGGCACGAGTGTGGGGGTTCATGGTGCAGCACAAAGTGCTTGACCAGCAACGGAAGAATCTGCATCCCAAGGCACCATGGGGCATTTTCCTTGGGGTTTCGGAGAGGAGCAAGGCTTGGGTGTTGTGGAGTGTGGCAGATCAGCGGGTGGTGGAAAGCCGGGACGCAGTTTTCCACGAGGGGCTGAGCTACAAGGGGTGGAAGGACCATGTGAGTAGTACGGCTGGGAGTTTTCTCCAGGATCCCTACACCTCTTCCATTTTTGAGGGTGTATGGGAGGACCCTGGAGAGGAGGTAGAGGAGCAGCAAGAGGAACAAAAGGCAGCGGCACCTCACCATGAGGAGTCCCCAACTGCTGGTTCTACCCCTGACCCTAACGCACCAGCCCATGACCCGCAGCAGCCACAGGGGCAGCAGCAGCAACTATCAACGGGAGTTGTGTTAGGCCCCGTCCTTTCTTGGGCGGCGCTGTTATGTGATGCTATCATTTGCATTCACGTCTGTCTGCCTCCCATCATATGTTCGTGTGTTGCATGCGTGGTGTGAGCGTGTGCAAGAATTTGTGTTTGGTGTTGTTTGGATTTTCTGAGTGTGTGTGAATGTTATTTGGCTTGAAAAGATATCTGAAGTGACTCCTCTGCTCAAGAGCTTCCCGACGAACCGAGAATCGCCTTGATCGGAGCAAGAACGAGAAAAATATGATCGATCGAAGTTTTGATTGAGATGCGGCGAATATGGGAATTTGAGGGTTGACTCAATATGGGGTACAGACTTTTGGGGGTTGGTAAATTCGTCACCATCACTGTAGATGATGCCAAGTGGTTGGGAGAAGCCAAACCAGGTTGGCAAGTGTGGCCAAGTTGGATGAGGTGGATGGCATGAGTTGGGAAAGTGACAAATGTCAAAGTTGGGGTGCCTATAGAGAGGGAAATTGTGTGGTATGGGGTTTCCTTGGTTGGGGACTCCCTTGGGACCTTCCCTCTCGTCCTTCTCATCCCCTCCTACCTGGTTCAATTGCCACTCCAACTTTCTTGTGTGAACTTGTGAGATAATTGTGATTGAGTTACGTTTTCTATGGCAGCATACCCCCTAGTGCGCCGAAGTTCATAACTCGAGTTATACTCCATATTTTGATACTATTCAAATTGGGAAAGATAGCCACAATCAAGGGCTACAACATATTCGAGTTTGAGAGAATTCTAACTGTGTGTTAATTGTCGACGACGTTTCTTCTGACGACGACTTTTCTGTCCAGAATTGTAGTTGACGATTTTGAGTTATTTCAGCCCCTAATCTTCATAGACTCCGTCCTTAGTCTCTAACAGGCGCCAGTCTCGTGGTCGGGTGTAAGGGGAGCAGCCGACCTGCAGCATTGGGCGAGCTGGTCGACTGGGCTGGTCGACTGCACAGGAGCCACTGCAAGGGCGCCAACTTTGGAAGGGCGCCAACTTCGGGTGGTCGACTTGGGAAGTCGACCTGTGAAAGCGTCGACTTCGGTGACACCGACCAGAGGAAGCCGACTGGGTGTGGTCGGTTGACAGGTGTGCTGGTCGACCTGGAGCTGGTCGACCAAGAGAGTTGTCAACCAAGAGCTAGTCGACCAAGGGTGTGGTCGACCTGGTGAGGTCAACTAGAGGTGGTCGTCGACTTGGGTGGTCGTCGGGCACGAGGAGGAGCTGCTGGTCGACATGGTTGCCTGGTCGACCAGGTTACCTGGGTGACGAGGTTCTACGGAGAAGTGCGACGGTCACCCTAGTGGTTGTGGTGAGACCGACCTTGGGGGTGATATCCCGAGGTCGACGTGGCTGATCAGAACTAGTCGTCAGCACGAGGACGTTTTGATGTATGCACTGTGTGTTAGAGACTAAGGACGGAGTCTATGAAGATTAGGGGCTGAAATATCTCAAAATCGTCAACTATAATTCTGGACAGAAAATTCTTCATCACAAGAAAAGTCGTCAACAAAAAACGCACAGTTATAATTCTCTCAAACTCGAGTATTTTGTAGCCCTTGACTGTGGCTATATTTCCCAATTCAAATCGTATCAAAACATGGAGTATAACTTGAGTTATGAACTTCGGCGCACTAGAGGGTATGCTGCCATAGAAACTTAACTCAATCACAATTTTCTCACAAGTTCCACACAAGGAAGTTGAAGTAGCAATAAACCAGGTAGGAGAGAATGAGGAGGACGAGAGGGAAGGTCCCAAGAGAGTCCCCAACCAAGCAAACCCCATATCACACAATTCCCCCCTCTATATGCACCCCAACTTTGACATTTGTCACTTTCCCAACTCATGCCATCCACCTCACCCAACAACCCCAAAAGTCTATACCCCATATTGAGTCACTCCACAAACTCCCATAATCGTCGCATCACAATTAAAACTTCAAACGATCATATCTTTCCCGTTCTTGTTCCGATCACAACGATTCTTAGTTCGTCGGAAAGCTCTTGCGCAGAAGAGTCACTTCACTTATCTTCTCAAGGCAAATAAAACTCACACACACTCAGAAAATACAAACCACACCAAACACAAATTCTTGCACACACTCACACCACGCATGCAAAGCACGAACATATGATGGAAGGCAGACAGACATGAATGCAAATGATAGCATCACATAACAAACTCCCCCTCTGGCTGCCTACCATCATCCCACATGCCACAATTCAAGCATGCACCCTCAATGCACACTCATTCCAGCAATTTTCATCCCCTCCCAATGCTCAGGTTCAGCGAGGCGCTTGGTGAGAATGTCAGCCGCCTGCTGATGGGTCTTCAAAATCTCCAGCCGCACCTCCTTGTCCAGGAGCCTCCTTGTCCAATGCCACTTTGGCCTGGTGTGCTTTGTCAGGCCATGAAGACATGCATTCTTTGCAAGCTTCATAGCCAACTCATTGTCACAAAACATTACTGTCGGCTCCTTTTGACAAACTCCAATCTCCTCCAGCAAGCGCCTCAGCCACACCACCTCCTTTGCCCCATGATGCAGGGCCATGTACTCTGTCTCACATGAAGACAGCCCCACCTCGTTTTGCTTCTTGCTGCGCCAGCTCACTGCACCACCTCCAAACAAGCACACATATCCTCCAATGCTGGTGCCATCCGCCTTTACAGAGTTGAAGCTAGCATCGGTGTAGCAAGTCAAGAGCATCTCCCCCTTGCTCAAATTAGCTGCACCCCTTTGCAGCCTCTGTCGCACAGCACTGTACTCAAAGCCCACTGATGCTGTAGTGCTCACAAAGCGGACCAACCTCTTGGCCGCTTCTAGCTGCTCATGACTGGGGCATGAGACCACACTGGCAAGCCTGGATGTAGCAAAGGCAATGTCAGGCCGCGTGTGGTTAGCCACATCGTTGAGTGCCCCCACCGTGGAATGAAACAGCTTCCTGTCACTCTCACCCACCACCTCCTCATCAGCACCGGGCTCCATTGTGAACCCCGAAGGCAGTGGGGTTGCTGGCATTTCCTCCATCTTGCAGCCCATACTTCTCCGCCAGCCCCTCACAATACTTCCTCTAGTGCAACCTCAACACTCCCTTGTCAAGGTCCCTCTCCACATGCATCCCAAGGTAGTACTTCACATCTCCCATTTTCGAGCACTTGAACTGCATCTCCAGCATCTCCTCCACACGCTCAATCATTGCAAACAACCCAGAGAAGAGAAGGATGTCGTCCACATACACCAAGAGCATGAGGAACTCGTTCTTCTCTTGCAGCAGGA